GTTTCAACTGTTTAGGTTTTCTTTTACTTTTAAAGCTTAATTTGCTTATTTCTAAATTACCTTAAGCTTTGTAATTACATTATATTTAAATCCCAGAGAGGACATTTGAGAGGGATTAACTGAGTAAATGTGGTGTCCTTTTGAGAAGGACAGGCCAAAGTTCAGGTGGACAGCTGTCCCCTGTTCTAACAGAACCATCTTTTGTCAAAAAGTTTTTTTCTGATATTTAAATGGACACTATTTAAATTTATTTTTCCACCTAAGTATACCCAATTGTTAATAAGAATAACCAAATGCTTATTACTGTGAGCAAAATCTCAACAAAAGAATTTCATTTTAAAAGTCAGTGAGATGGTATTTGGACCTGAGACCTGTTACACTGTATACAGTCATATTCTATTGGTTAATCCCCAACTTAGAGTTTAGATAATGAGCTTAGATTGCAATTCTGGCATCAGTCACTTCTAGATCTGAATGCCACATCCCCTGTAGGTGGGAAACCAACTGGAACCCCAGACCCCCTTCCCCTGTGTGATGAAGCTGGGAGAAATGATTGTGCCAAGCGAGAAAGCAAAGAATCTGGAGGATGAAAACTCAGCTCATCCAGCTTTTCAGAAGACCTTTATAGGCAAAGTTAAGTGAAAACGGCAGAAAAGTTCCTGGACCCAGTCCTTTAAGAAACAAAAATGAGTAGGAAGAAAGGTCAGAGCAGCGGTTCAAAGGAATCAGAGCGCACAGCTGCTGCTGTCCAAGGTTGCGGGCCGGCGCCACTTGTGCCTGCCAAGCTGGAGGCAGTGCTGGGCAGTGGAGGCATGCGGGCCCTTCCTCCACCCAGCTCCCCACTTTCAGAACTCAGAAGCAGAGCCCCAACTCTGTAGTCCCACAGAAATTCCCAGTCTAGAAATTCTAGAACTGTGACAAACATAAAACCAAAGGAAACATGCTTAATTATTTAACCCAATTTGACTTTTTCATTTTCTGATTTTGAAAAGTAATTCCTAGTTATAAAAAGAGGATGCAGCAGCTGGTACATGGCCATGGCTTCATGGCCATGGGGGTCAGGAAGGGATGTGCTCATATGCTCATGAGGGATACTTGTGGGTCAGAAGTTTGTGCTGCATTCTCTTAAGCTGCCAATATCTGCCCAGAGCTTGGACACAGGTGTCACAGACATTGTGAGGGATGGGGGTCAAAGAGAAATTCTAAAACATTGCATTTAGCCTTAAGCTAGCCACAAAGGTCAGGTAGGGATATAGTATGTTTGACACAAGCAAATGTGTCAAACAGAATTCCCCCTACTCCGATGACGACACAGCTAGCTATTCTCACTAATTGCTCACTGAAGGTGCTGGGTCTTTCAGGCATCACTGTGCATAGAGATTACCTATTGCCCATGACACAGCTACCTGGAACTGGGTTTTGATGATCACACAGCTTCTGACTCACAGTTTCCTGGCTCTGATCAACTCTGTCTTCCTCTCCATTCAGTATTTTCATTTCTGGGATGGCAGAAAACATGTACATGGTGGTTCTGATCATCTAACGTGAATAGAAGGGAAAGCCAAACCTCTGAAGAAACCAGCTGTCCAATTCTCCTGGAGCAGGTGGAGCTAGGGTTTGCTCCAATATTCTAGGCTGCAGTGATCCAGAGAGTACTGTCCTGGGGCAGGGGAGAGGAGGTGCCTGGTCTTCCTAGGCAGGGCCTTCACATATTGAAGGCAGCCATGGTAGATGACAGCTCTGGCTTTCCTCTGGGACAAGAGAGCCCATTTAGGCTAGCTCCCTTTGTAGCAGGAGCAAAGTGTCTCAGACAGAGTGATTTCTACCATGGGGTTGAAGCATCACTGTCAACTGTTAGGCTCAGCTACACTGAAGGAACTAAACTTGGGCCACAGGCAACAGGATCTTCAGCCCATAGAGGATATGGCTGCATTCAAAGCCTAGACTAGTCTCTTCCCTTTTGAGAGGTTAGTTTTCAGGGTGGACAAGTTGAAAACATGAGAGGACCTCTCGGTAACATTTGGTAAATACCAGAAATCCTAGAAACTTTTGCGTTTTCCTAGATAGCTTTTGCTCCAGAAGTACCAATACCTTTGTGGGCATCAAGTAGGCGCTTTGCTAGAAGTGTAGCCTAGAAATTCTAGAATGTACCTGGGTTAGTCCATTCTCATGCTGCTATAAAGAACTGCCTGAGACTGGGTAATTTACAAAGAAAAGAGGTTTAATTGACTCACAATTCCACAGGGCTGGGAAGGCCTCAGGAAACTTACAATCATGGTGGAAGGGGAAGCAAACATGCCCTTCTTCACATGGCAAAAGGAAGAAGTGCCGAGCAAAGGGGGGAAAGCCCTTATAAAACCATCAGCTCTCATGAGAACTATCATGAAAACAGTATGGGGGTAACCACCCCCTGATTCAATTACCTCCTACTGGGTCCTTCTCACAACACATGGGGATTATAGGAACTATAATTCAAGATGAGATTTGGGTGGGTACACAGCCAAACCATATCAGCACCCTTCTTAAGGCTAGCATGACAGATATGGTGTACAGTGGTCCAGGATGATGCGTTAGGTCTTAGGATGCTGGAGGACTAGACAAGGTTGGGCTGGGGAAATAAATGATAATCCACTCGTGACAACCTACCTGTCCAGGAGAGCTTCTGTGCTTTTCATGCTTGTGTATGTCTGGAATATTCAAAGGACAAATGACATTATGGATTATTGCAACTGGTAGAGTTATGTCTGGAAATCCACCTTCCACATGTCTGTCACATGTGCTGCCAGGTATGGCTGAGGTGAGAGGTGTCCTAATCCTATGCATCAGAGCACAAAGATAGGCATCTGTGGGAATCTTAGATGACAGCCACGTGAAAGCTGTGGTAGTTCTGAGAGAGAAGTGGGTTCCACAGGAAAGAGGGGGAGGCCAAGAAACCCCTGGGTGGACTTACAACTCTTGAGCTCCCAAGCCAATTCTCTATTTGGAATGTGGGTACAGCTCCTCAATCTCTGTGTCTGAACACCCTCCTGTTCATGGGTATATTCACTGGGTATCCTGGGCAATGATGTGATGGGGAGGTAGTAGGTAGGAAGTAGTGCCACAGGCCATCCAGGAGGCAGAACTGACATGACATAGTCAGTGACACTATTCAGACCTCTAGCTGGGAAGAAAATAGAGCACAGGAGAACACTGGCTCTTATAAAGATCCACAGCTTCCTTTATACTGGCAGGATGAGACTAGGCCTCCCCTATGGCCAGAGCCAGGCATGATAGGAGTATGGGGTTGGCTTCCCTGGGACCATAAGGTGGGGACATTTCCAGGGTGAGCAGTACATAGACTCCTAGTGGCCTGCCCTGACAGCATCTAGACAATATACCTACAAAAAGGCCAGTCCCTTCTTGGGAACAGCAGGAAATAAGGGTTTAAGAGGTGAGAAGCACAAGTTCTTAAGTACTTTTTTGGAAAGATGTGAAGAAGGGAAGAGATACCAGAAAGAACTGAGAGAAGAGGAATGCTGTCTTGCAGACATGCCTCAATGCTTGTGCTGAGATTTGTATGTTAATCCACCTTTCCAGGGTCTCTCCAGGTTCCCTATGCTGGTGGTTTCTTCAAACCTACAGGATGGCACCCCTCTAAATCATTCTTTGTAGGGCAGGTAGCCAGGTGTATTTCCCCAGGAGTTAGAGAGGCAGTAGTTAGAGTGCAGGGACCTACCAGGAAATCCACCTTCCTGCTGCATGTTGGGGCATACTCAGAGCCTGGCTTTTTCTTCTGCCAGCTGTGTGAGCACACATGGGAGCTGCTGCCCAGATGAGGCAGCAGAAAGAATATCCTTTCCCTGGGCAATGACATTTGGGAGTTCCCAGAATGGAGGAGGCTTGACACCTGAGCTAGTTTCTTGTCCCTGAGAGATGAGGCCAGACAAAGGGTATCCAGCTCCCAGAGTGCCTTGGTGTATGAGTGTAGATGGAGGGGATCTTCCTCTGACCTTAGGGCAGTCAATGAGCAAATACCAGAATCAGGTCCTAGGGCATGGGCTTGGGAGGCAGGAAGGTTCAAGCTAGTATAGGTAGCAATCCCAAACTGGACTGCTGAATTTTAAAAAGCTAGAAAGGAAGTGGAAGTCCAGATACAGCCAAAGAAGGAAGATGAGCAAATGAGCAGAGGATCAGAGGAAGGAAGGAAGAGAAAGAAACCTGGCACAATTCATGCACCACAGTGTGGAGGGCAGAACTCAATCACTTTTGGTCTCTTATTCACCCTTGTCTCTAAGCCTACTGCAGTGTTCACCAGATAATTGGTGTTCAATATATACTTGTTAAAGGAAAGGATTCTCATGGTTACCTATTGGACATGCCAGGTACAGGTACACACAATGGAGGGGATGTTTTGAGATGAATCTATCCAATCCTTTCATTTCATAGATGAGTCTAGGGAGGTCTGTAGACACTTAGTAACTAACCAGAAGTGGTGCCATCAGGAGGAGAAGGAAAAGCTCAAACTCCTCCTCATCTCCCTTCGCTTTTCCATCTTGGAGACTTCCACAGCTATTTTGTAATGGGCAGGTCAGGACCAGACTGGCTTCCCTGCCTTTAGAACAGGGGTTGAAAACAATTCCTTAAAGGGCCTACATTAATAGGAAATTGTCATGCCACTCTGCTGAAGTAGTGTGAAAGCAGCCACAGTATATGAACAAATGCATGTGGCTGAGTTCCAATAAAACCTCACAAAAACTAGTGGCTGGTGTGAGCTGAGTTTGCCAAGCCCTGCTTTAGAACAATCAGTTGAAAGCAGGTATTTTGCCTCCTTTCTTTCTGAAACAGTATTTGTCAGTTACTTACATGGTTGGGCCATTCTGGGATAAGGCCTCAGATGAGCACCTGTGTCTTCCTTTGGCTTCTCTTTCAGGAGAACATGCAATAACAGAGAGCACACACTTTTCCAGGGAAAGAAACAAATAAACACAGGAAGAAAAAAGAAACTAGAAATGGATTTTTACCTTTTGAACCAGGTAGACACTTGTGGCCCTCTCAGCAGCCACTTTATCCAGATCGGATCCCTCTGGAACAAAGTAACTGACGTCGGCAATGTGAACTCCCACTTCAAAGCTGCCTGTAAATGCATGAGAAGGACTATCAGGAAGCATGGAAGGCCACAGCATTCCCTCCCAGGAGTCCTTTCCTAGAATTTATGTCACTCCCAGAGGCCACAGGACCTGCAGTGTAGGCTGCCATGTTTTGCTTGCTTCCTTCTTTGGCCACTTACCCCTGTGACTCACACTACTGTCGCTTTCCCCATTGTACAGCAAAAGATGATGAAATTGTTCTTGTGAATAAACAAGATTAACCACTTTCACAAGATGTTACCCAATTCTAAAGGCTTCTTATCTTTGAGTAAACATAGAAGATATGGCTCATTCTCAATGATGAACAATCCTTTTAGGTCACTAGAAGTGAATTAATTCCCAAATCCTGCAGAGGCAGCCTCTGAAAGCTCTGCCCTTCCTTCCCATTGGCCATTGCCCTATTCACCCCAAACCTGGCTGCCCTACCTTGCCTCTGTGCCTCCCCATCAGGCCCTTCACATTTTTCTGTGATCTTTCTAAATGTGGGACTGGTAAAGGGACTCTTAGCCTGTTATTTGTGTCCTTGCAGGGTCACACCCCAAGTAACCTCAGCCCCATCCTTCACATGCTTTGCATGCAGCTGTCATGGGAAACCTCTTTCCATTCCCTGAACAGATCTTCCCTCAAGCCATTCAGACGTTGGCTTGGCTCATACTTTTTCCTGTGCTTGGGATGGTCTCAACAGGATCTGCCTGTCAAAATCTTGCTGACTTTATTTGGGTCAACTAAAAGAGAATCCCAAAACAAGAAGAGATTCCTCTGCCCCTCCCTGCTGTTTCCTCCACCTGTCTGCCTCCCCTAACTCCCCACCCCTCACACACACACCCCTGGTCCCCTCCACCTGCACTATAAAGCACCTACTCCACATCTGTTGCTGCTTGTCATGGTCTTTCTTCAGAGCTCTCGTCACTACCAGATATCACAACATATCTCTATCAGCTTGTGTGTTTGTTATATGCCTCTCTCCCTACCATGTAAACTCCAGCAAGTAAGGCCTTTTGTGTAATGTTCACTGTTGTACGCCCAGGGCCTGAAAGGGTGCCTGGCACACAATAAGTCCTCAAGAAGTACTTGTTGAATGAATGAATCCATAGTCCTTTCCCTCTGGTAAAGGACTTCCCTTTTTTTCCTTTTAGAACTGCTCCTTCCCTTCCTGGTGGAGCTGTCTTTCAACAGGCCCTGCACTTCCTGCCAGTTTTACCAGAGTTGGTCAGAAGAACAAGGCTGTTAGAACTATACCTTAAGTGAGGGAGGGTAGTTAGGTTATCAACTTAAGATTTATTCTTGAATATCCTGTAAATAATCTATCAAATATAGTGTATGTGAAAATAAAAATATACACATTCATATATGAGTGTATGAAAATGTACAAAATGAACAGATTACAAAAAAGAGTATACATGTAAAATAAGTATATAGGCTGGGCACAGTGGCTGATGCCTGTCATCCCAGCACTTTGAGAAGTTGAGGTGAGCAGATCACTTGAGGCCAGGAGTTTGAGACCTGCCTGGCCAACATGGCAAAACCCCATTTCTACGAAAAATACAAAAAGTAGCCAGGCATGATGGCGCACACCTGTAGTTGCAGCTACTCAGGAGGCTGAGGCAGGAGAATCACTTGAACCTGGGAGGCAGAGGTTGCAGTGAGCTGAGATTGTGCCACTGCACTCCAGCCTAGGAGACAGACAGATCTCAAAAAAATAAAATAATAAAATAAATTAAGTATACAGTTTGAAGATACACAATGGGCAGATAGAAGCACATGGAGGATACAAGCTTAGTGCTGAATTTGCTTAAGTTGAACAATACACTTGATAAATGACATGAACTTCAGGAAAGAGGGTCTCTCTCCTGAGATTCCAGGCACTAAGGACCATATAAACCTGGAGCTGCCAGGAAACATCTATGCTACATAATCATGCAAAAATAGAAAATAATAGTCTAAGAAAGAAAAGAAGAATTATGACCTCATTTGAACTTCAGGATCCAGCTGAGCCTGAAACTAGTCTACCTGTGGACTTGGCGGTTAATGAGTAGATAAATTCCCTTTCCATTATGACTCACTGACAGAGTCCTGGCACATCCCCATGTTGGCTTTGAAGAACTTATTAACACATTGCTGTTTGCTCCTTTGGTGACCTGAATGATCCGTCCTAAGGCATCACATATTTTATCTGCAGATTGTGTAGCTATTTATTATCCTCCTATTCGTTCTTCACTGGGGGATAATTCTTCCCTCAGTTTTTAAAATGGAAAAATGCTTAAACATGGGGTGCTTGAAAAAAGGGTTCAGGCAAGGAAAAGAATTTAAGATTCCCTATTTTTTATCTGGTGTGACACTCAGAGGCCACCTTCCTACAGGGCATTCTTCGGGTTTTTTCTGCCCAATCCTGTAGCTGTAATACATAAAGGAATGACTCTGCTTAAGAGATCCCAGCTGCTATGGGGTAACATAACAGATCTGTTTCCCATAGAGGAGAGGACTGTCTGGAAAGCTGAGAGTAACCAGCATGACTCCAAGTTTAGCTGCCTCATTCTGACAGGCACGCAGCTGTGTCGCTAGGTCACTGGGAGCAGTGAAACCTGCCCTGCGATCGAGGAACTGAACTTTACGTGAATTCAGCCAAAAGTCTCAGACGGCTCAACTTCCAGTTTTGATATTTCAAGTATCTAAAACCAACACTTAGAGAAGGTAAAACAAAGTGTCTTCTTTTGAAGTCAGCATTATAATATATTGGCCTAACAGGTAAATATTGACTAAAGGACAAGAGAGAGGATTATTACATCATGATATAAGCCATAATTTTAAATCCAGTTTCTGTGTTGTTACTACACATGAACTTTCTGTCCTTAGTCAAAATTGACAAACTGACAAAGAGTTCATTACAGGAGATAAAATATGAAGGAGGCCAATGAAAATATATTCAAGAGGCTTACATTTCACTTAGAATTCCCAGCAGAGCCTCTGAAACCAGCAAAGAGAAGCTCTCTTATTCTCCGCTCTGGATCTTTTTTATGGAAACCCTAAGTAAATATTTTATTATATATGTTTACATAATGTGAACTTGCAGAACTGTCGAGGTAGTGGCATTGAAGTTTTTACTCTATGAAAGAGAAAATATAAATCCCAAAGTTACATAGCATACACTGCCAAAATGTTTAAGACAAATTTGATATTTTAAAAGATACTGTCTTTCATATAAAAGCATTCTTTTAAAACATTTTTAAATTTAAAACTTTCTTCTGCCAGGGTTAAGATGAGTCTATGTGTTTAAAGAGCAGTCAGGGCAGAGAGAGGACGGATCCCCCAGGCAGCCGCGTCTGGCTCACATTGCCCAGGGTCCACAAACTTAGATGAGTACAAACACTCCTTTGAATGAACTTCACAGGACATCAGAACAGCTTCATCCAATTAAAACACTAACAGATTATAAAGCAGAGTTTAGAAACCACCTCTTTGAAGCCAGCCTCCCAGCCAGTACAGCCACTTCCCCCACAGTGTCCCTGCCAGGTGGCCCTGACATATCCTCAAGGGTAGGAAGTTGACATCTTCTTGAAGCCACCTGCTCTCTTTCTGAAGAGCTCTGTCTGGTAGAGGAAGTCATTCCTCACATGGATCCTCTAGTTTATACCCACAATAGACATCCGTGAGTGGGGATCCCTCCATTTAAGGAGCTCTCAGTCTAATGGGGCCCACAGATACACCCACATGATGATTAAAGTGTATAGGAGGAAGCTGAACTGCAATCAGTGAGAACATTTGAAAGTGTTTTGTGATCCATAACAACTACCTAAGTGTAACACGGACAGTGATGATCATAAAAATGATAATAAAGATACCAGGAGTGACCATTTATGAAATGTATCCTCTGTGCCAGGGGCTCCACACACAAGCTAACTTTGACTACAGCTTTGCAAATCGTTTTGCTCAGATGAATTATCTGAGACGCAAAGAGCTTCTCAGTCACTTTTCCAGTTACCTGGCTAAAAGTGAGAAATCCCAGATTCAAAACCAGGCTGAGTTCAGTCTTTGCTCCTTTTATTACCCCTCCCATACACTGTCATTGCAACTCCAGGACAAGATGATACAACTCAATTTTTCATCTCAGTGGACCACAGCTCAAAATCCCTCCCTATCTCTCATAACTCCGTGGAAGCCACATTCTCGGCTTTGGATTCAGAAGTCCTGGCAGAGACTTTTCCCATCCTTGTTCACAGCCATATTCCTGTCCCTGAAGGCTCTTTTGGTTCCCACTGCCAGTCTCCTTAACTACCTGTAGCAGGGCCTGAATACAGAACAACCACTAAGCCATTAACTCCAGCTCTATTTAATTAGATGGAACACTTTAAAATCTAAACAATTTCTTTCTAAATCTCTAGTTTATAGTCATTTTTAGCTGGTAGCACAGAGACTGTCTGAACTACTCAAGAGGCCTGTGCCAGGAATGAACACTACCAGGGTGGTCACCTACTATAGGTGGGGACTTCCCTTATCAGCAGTGAGATAAGAGCCTTTCAGACTTGGGTCACTTCATTCACTCTGACCCACTGCTGAGAGTGCACAGTGGTTACAGTGGTGACAGAGACTTTTCTTGACATCAGCAGGAAACTCCTCACATAAAACAATACTATGTGCTGTAATAGATGTTTGTTCCCCCCAGTCTCCCCACTCCCTGCCAATTCATATGTTGAAATCTAATCCTCAATGTGATGGCATCAGGAGGTGGACCTCTGGGAGGTGATTAGGCCACAGAGGTGGATCCCTCACAAATAGGATTAGTGCCTTATAAAAGGGACCCCAGAGAGTTCTCTCATCCTTTCTAACATGTAAGGACGCAATGAGAAGGTGCTGTTCTGTGAACCAGGAAGTGGGCCCTCACTAGACAGTGGATTTGCCAGCATCTTGATCTTGGACTTCCCAGCCTCAAGGACCGTGAGGAATAAATCCGTTGTTTTATTTCTTTATGCCATCTAGACTACAGTATTCT